GGATGGGGGAGAGGGGTGTACTGCAGATAAGATATTGTTGAATGTGAAGAGTCGGGCTCCTAGATCCAGTCCCACATTGGTTTCACAGGAAAGTGCAGCCCGAGGTTGGAATATATCAGCCACGTCAAGTGTTAGTGGTAGGAAATTTGAACGATCACCATGTGGTCCAGTATAGGTCAAGGGTGATGCAGCTTCCTCCATCTGGGCTACTTGGTTAATTCTACCATGTTATGTACTAAGGGGGGGAGTGATGTTCTTCCAGTGTCTGCGGATAACAGTTTTGTCTGATTCAAACAGGTGAATACTTAGAGACCCTTTAAAGAAGTAGTTTGGTGGCGGGAAGGGAAGAGTTCGGACTGTCAATCTGCCAATAATGTGGATTTCCATCCAGAAAGAGGTTATCAAGGGGCATTGCCACCAAATGTGGAGGAAAAAGCTCCGAGGTACCACATCCCCATTTCTGTTGCGTCACAGGACCGGATGGAAAAGGGAACTTCTCAAATGGGCACAGATGGAGGGTGATAATATATTGAGGGTTTTACTATTCCCAACTCTATAGAAAAGCGAGAAAGAAAGTCTGGTCTTTGGATTCACTATAAAGGAAAGCTGTGCACTATATTAAACTCTCTGTGTGAAGATGGGGCGTTGTGAATTGTACCTCTCATTCTTCTCGGTGATGGTCTCTGAGGTTACAGAGAAGCAGGACGGCTATAAGCACGAGCAGGAAAATATTTCTCCTCCAGTCCGGAGATTCCTCCACATTGCTACCTCATTACTGGCCACTGCCATCCCTCCAGCAAGACTCCCAGAGAACCACATGGCCGGTCACCATCGATGCCGCGACCCGTCCTCCATCCCGGGATCTCCTCTATTTGTAGCATTGTTTCTGTACTTTATGGGAGATATATCTGTGTTGTCACAATGAAGCCTCCAGATTGATGGAACGTTGTATGAAGGAGAACTTCAGCTGAAGAATGCGTCTTACCGGCTTCTTTCCTGATAAACCCGATAGAGAGACGGAGAAATAAAATGATAATACAACGTCTCAGAATGTCATTGTCTCCAAACCAGAATCGTGATCCTCAGAGTCAGACAGTCCCAGATTCCTCTCAGGGGGTTCTTGAAGGTTCGGAGGAGAAGTAACACCGGTTAAAGATCCGTCACATTCTAAAGGTCGATGTAAAACCCCCAAAATGGTGACAATCTGACTGTGAGTGGTGATGGAACATTTCTCCGAATGGGTTACATGAGATAAGGGGATCGGCTGTAATAAAATTGTCCAGCCTGGTGCTCTAGTTGTAGTCGGTCACATTCAGATGGACTTGTTCTGTATTGTTGAAGACGTTTCATAACTTCTCCAGGACAATTCTTCAGCTGCAACTGAGGAAGTGGATTGGAGAAGCTATGACACAACATCAGCAGTACATAACAAGTTCAGACGAATGTGACTAATAGTGGGCGGAGCCACGCAAATCATTCCTGGGCCACTTGCACCTTTAGAACAGCTGGCTTATAGCGCAGATACGGCATAATATAATAGAACCATTCAATCCAAACTCCATACAGCTTTTATTTATTTTTTTGAAGCAAAAACTAAACACCATAGTGAACAAAAAAAGGGCACTAGGGTGCGTCAACTGGTCCAACTCATGAAGAGATAGGGCCCTTCCCTGACCCCTGGGCTCCTGACAGGGGCAAGACACTTGTGTCCACGTAGCCGAGACCACACGGACCCATTCCTCATGGCCAACCATCAAGTACTAGGTTGGGAGCTCTCCCGAAGAGAGACCTCCAGTCCCAAACCTCATACAGCTGCTTCAGGCTTGTTAGACTTCTTCAGTGCAGACAGGGCCGGTGCAAGGATTTTTGCCAACTCAGGCGAAGGTGCATTTTGCCGCCCCCCCTCCCCCCCCC